CACGAGCAAAACATGATCAGCACCAAGGCTCCATGGGTGTTAAAATCATTACGGTGTAATCTAGATTATTGACTCTAGTGCAAGTGGCAGACTGAAGGAAATATGCCCTAGAGGCAATAATAAAGTTATTATTTATTTCCTTATAATCATGATAAAGGTTTATTATTCATGCTAGAATTGTATTAACCGGAAACATAATACATGTGTGAATACATAGACAAACAAAGTGTCACTAGTATGCCTCTACTTGACTAGCTCGTTAATCAAAGATGGTTATGTTTCCTAACCATGAACAATGAGTTGTTATTTGATTAACGGGATCACATCATTAAGAGAATGATCTGATTGACATGACCCATTCCATTAGCTTAGCACCCGATCGTTTAGTATGTTGCTATTGCTTTCTTCATGACTTATACATGTTCCTATAACTATGAGATTATGCAACTCCCGTTTACCGGAGGAACACTTTGGGTACTACCAAACGTAACAACATAACTGGGTGATTATAAAGGAGTACTACAGGTGTCTCCAAAGGTACATGTTGGGTTGGCGTATTTTGATATTAGGTTTTGTCACTCCGATTGTCGGAGAGGTATCTCTGGGCCCTCTCGGTAATGCACATCACATAAGCCTTGCAAGCATTGCAACTAATGAGTTAGTTGCGGGATGATGTATTACAGAACGAGTAAAGAGACTTTCCGGTAACGAGATTGAACTAGGTATTGGATACCGACGATCGAATCTCGGGCAAGTAACATACCGATGACAAAGGGAACAACGTTTGTTGTTATGCGGTCTGACCGATAAAGATCTTCGTAGAATATGTAGGAGCCAATATGGGCATCCAGGTCCCGCTATTGGTTATTGGCCGGAGACGTGTCTCGGTCATGTCAACATTGTTCTTGAACCCGTAGGGTCCGCACGCTTAAGGTTACGATGAAAGTTATATTATGAGTTTATGCATTTTGATGTACTGAAGGTTGTTCGGAGTCCCGGATGTGATCACGGACATGACGAGGAGTCTCGAAATGGTCGAGACATAAAGATTGATATATTGGAAGCCTATATTTGGACATCGGAAGTGTTCCGGGTGAAATCGGGATTTTACCGGAGTACCGGGAGGTTACCGGAACCCCCCGGGAGCTATATGGGCCTTAGTGGGCTTTAGTGGAAAGGAGAAAGGGGTAGCCCAAGGTGGCTGTGCGCCTCCCCCCTTCCCCTAGTCCTATTAGGACTAGGAGAGGTGGCCGGCCCCCTCTCTCTCTTTCCCCCCTCAAGGAGTCCTATTCCAACTAGGATTGGGGGGGGGGGGGAATCCTACTCCCAGAGGGAGTAGGACTCTCCTGGCGCGCCCTATGTGGCCGGCCAGCTTCCCCCCTTTGGTCCTTTATATACTGAGGCAGAGGCACCCCAGAAACACACAAGTTGATCCACGTGATCTATTCCTTAGCCGTGTGCGGCGCCCCAGCCACCATAGTCCTCGATAATAGTCTAGCAGAGTTTAGACGAAGCCCTGCTGCTATAGTACATCAAGATCGTCACCACGCCGTCGCGTTGACGGAACTCTTCCCCGACACTTTGCTGGATCGGAGTCCGGGGATCGTCATCGAGCTGAACGTGTGCTCGAACTCGGAGGTGTCGTAGTTTCGGTGCTTGATCGGTTGGATCGTGAAGACGTACGACTACTTCCTCTATGTTGTGTCAACGCTTCCGCAGTCGGTCTGCGTGGGTACGTAGACAGCACTCTCCCCTCTCATTGCTATGCATCACATGATCTTGCGTGTGCGTAGGAAATTTTTTAAAATTACTACGAAACCCATCACTTGGACCCTACAGTAAGAAATAAAGGAGGAAGCCACGAGGTAGGGGGGCGCGCCTCCCCCCCCCCCCAGGCGCGCCCTCCACCCTCGTGGGCCCCTTGTTGCTCCACCGACGTACTCCTTCCTCCTATATATACCTACGTACCCCCAAACGATCATATACGAAGCCAAAAACCTAATTCCAGCGACGCAACTTTCTGTATCCACGAGATCCCATCTTGGGGCCTGTTCCGGAGCTCCGCCGAAGGGGTCATCCATCATGGAGGGCTTCTACATCAACACAATAGTCTCTCCGATGAAGTGTGAGTAGTTTACCTCAGACCTTCGGGTCCATAGTTATTAGCTAGATGGCTTCTTCTCTCTTTTTGGATCTCAATACAATGTTCTCCCCCTCTCTTGTGCAGATCTATTCGATGTAATCTTCTTTTTGCAGTGTGTTTGTCGAGACTGATGAATTGTGGGTTTATGATCAAGATTATCTATGAATAATATTTGAATCTTCTCTGAATTCGTTTATGTATGATTGGTTATCTTTGCAAGTCTCTTCAAATTATCAGTTTGGTTTGGCCTACTAGATTGAACTTTCTTGCAATAGGAGAAGTGCTTAGCTTTGGGTTCAATCTTGCGGTGTCCTTTCCCAGTGATAGTGGGGGCAGCAAGGCACGTATTGTATTGCTTCCATCGAGGATAACAAGATGGGGGTTTTACAATATTGCATGAATTTATCCCTCTACATCATGTCATCTTGCTTAAGGTGTTACTCTGTTTTCATGAACTTAATACTCTAGATGCATGCTGGATAGCGGTCGATGAGTGGAGTAATAGTAGTAGATGCAGACATGAGTCGGTCTACTTGTCTCGGACGTGATGCCTATATACATGATCATACCTATATATTCTCATAACTATGCTCAATTCTGTCAATTGCTCAACAGTAATTCGTTCATCCACCGTAAAATACTTATGCTCTTGAGAGAAGCCACTAGTGAAACCTACAGCTCACGGGTTTTCATCATATTAATCTTCCAATACTTAGTTATTTCCTTTGCTTTTTTACTTTGCTTTTATTTTACTTTGCATCTTTATCACAAAAATACCAAAAATATTATCCTACCATATCTATTAGATCTCACACTCGTGAGTGACCATGAAGGGATTGACAACCCCTTATCGCGTTGGTTGCGAGGAGTTATTTGTTTTGTGCAGGTACGAGGGACTTGCGTGCAGCCTCCTACTGGATTGATACTTTGGTTCTCAAAAACTAAGGGAAATACTTACACTACTTTGCTGCATCATCCTTTCCTCTTCAAGGAAATCCAACTCAGTGCTCAAGAGGTAGCACGCCTCCCTCGCATGCATCGGAGCTCTGCCTACCTCACCGGACCCGGCCACGCCGGAGCTGCAACCTGCCATGGTCGACTACACCCCATGGCGATTTTTTGCTGGAACCGGTTGTAGCAAATTCAATCCCCGGTGGCAGCAAAACTCTACTATGGTTGCAGCAAAACGGTGTCATCGTCATCGCGGGGTCGCAGCTGAGATAAGAAGTGTGAAGCTTTTTTCAATGCGGTTGTAACTTTTATAACTGCCGGTTGCAACTTTTTCGTTTTTCATCCATGACTTTGTTTCCACGGTTGAAACTTTTTTTATAGTCGGATGAAACTTTTTTCATCGCTAGATGAAGCTTTTTTATCACCGGTTGTAATTTTTCTTGGTCATCCATAGCTCCAGTGGTAGAAGCTTTTTTCGTAGCCGGTTGAAGCTTTTCCTATCGCTAGTTGTAGCTTTTTTCGTCGTAGGTTGCAGCACTGGGCATCTCCCTGGGCGCTCGATTTTTTGTGTTGCAAGCGGGGGATGAGCGCCGGCGAGCACACCGGTGAGCTCCGATCTTCGCCATCGGAGCTACAACGGTTGCCACGGAAGCTACAACCGCATGGGTGGCCTGTTGCATGGGCGAAGCCAGTGACGAGAACGGCCGCCGAGGGCTGGGACCGGCGACCAGGGCGGCCTGCGAAGACGGGCGGCAAGGGCGGCGATCAGAGACGGGGAGGGCGGGCGAGGGGGGCGGCGATGAGGGGAAAACGCGTGCAGCCAGAATCTCAACTAGCAGATGCTGGAAGCGGCGACGGCCGGTGCTACGAGCCACATCGGCGAATGCTGCATGTGCCGATGGCCGGCGACAATGGAATTGCTTGGCCTCATCATCCAGCTCTGGCCGATGACGCAGGTGGCTAGCTGTGGGGGGACGGGTGTGGTGAAGGCACAACCTGATGCGTCGGAGGGCGACGGGTGGCTGCGGTGCGGG